CCATCCTTTTGGCCAGTGGCTGTTTAGTTTCCCCGATGTAAGACTGATCACAGCCCTCCTGACACTGAACAGCATACACAACATTACTCTGTTTGTGCCGGGGGACTGGATCTTTGGGATGAACCAGTCTTTGCCGTAATGTATTTTGGGGTTTAAAAGCCACTGGGACGTTATGTTTAGAAAATAAACGTCAGTTTCTCTGATACCCCCTCAACATACGGAATGACCACTGGTCTGGGTCTGGGTTCCTCCTTTTCACCTAATGGTTGACTGGAGTCCTGTTTGGGTTTCTTCTCTGCTTTCAGGAAGGCCCAGTTAGGATATCCACATTGCTCTAGAGCCTGTTTTGTGTAGGATTTCTCCTTCTGCCTGGCTCCCGAGCTATTGGGGACGCTGTCTGCTCTGTGATACAGAGTCCTGATGACTCCTAACTTGTCCCCCTCTTACAATGCTGTGATTGCTAGTATCACTCAGCCCTCTGTGAACAGTAAACAGCCATCAGTGTGCTAATGATCCATTGTTAGGCTGATGGTCCTTCTTGAGCATGTGATCAGCTGGTTTTGGTTGTCAGCAACAAAACTGGTTGATCCACCCTGAGAAGGTGCTATTTAAGAGACTGAGCTGAAAACAGCACCTCAGACTGAGGAAGTCTCTTGGATGAGAGACGAAACGTTTCTAGATTTTTTTGCTTTGTTTTGTTTTTTGTTTTTTTTTTGTTTTTTTTTTAATGTCCAGAGGACCAGATTGAACTTTTTTGGATTTTTCTACCTGGATTATTGAGCATGCATCAGAACAACTGATTATCTTTAGGAGTCAACACGATTTAAGAAGATGCCATCTAATTACATTTATTCAACATACAATTGCTACAACTTAGTCAAATGCACAAAAACTGAGACAAAGTTTGACGTGGTAGTAGCTGAGAATCAGTCAGAACACAACATTTAAACTTTAATAGACCATGCAAGATGTTGCATGAAACTGTGCATATTGTTATGTTGAAGATATGGCCAAAACAATTGCAAACAACTTTACCATTTCTCAGCAATAGATAGTTTTAGTTTTAAACTATGTAAAGCTTTAGAACTAGGGCTATTCAACTGACAACCCGCGGGCCATTTCCAGCCTGTGGGTAACTTCAATCTGGCCCACTTCATTAATTGTTTTATTTTATTTATTTATTTACTTTTCTTTGGGGGGGGGGGGGGTGTCTGCTTATTGCATTTATGATTCAATGCAATAAAAATAAACAATGTAAAAGGTAACAACAGATCATTGTAAACTTTGGTTAATTTACAAAATGATTTTAATTGCTGGATGTCCGGCCCCCGAGCAGCTGGCTTTCAGAAACTGTGGCTCCCTGAGCAGTTTTGTCAACTAGCCCTGCTTTAGACAATGGGATGCTAGACCTTTAATCTGGCTTCAGTTTTGTTCCGTAAGAATACAGCAAGTAGTTGATAACTTGTTATAGTAAGGATTTAGGTATGTTTAACATTTAGGAATTCAGGACTTTAGTAGAGGGGCATCTTTGCGAGTTGCTAGTCATCAAAGCAAAATTATTATTTTTTTAAAGTACTATTTGCTCAATGTGATTTGCATGGCCAATATAAAGACAGTTCTTTAATATTCTCGCATGACAACATAAAGAACCGACTCATTATATTTGTTTCCGTTGGCCTAATGGAGAGCAAAAAGTATGAGCGGAAGGGGTAGCTTTCACTGTAGCTGGAAAATTTAATTGTCATATTCACTTTAAGAATACCATGCTGGTAAACAGCTACTTTAATTACCCTGGCTAAGTTTAATTAAAATGTTTTTTTTTTAGTATCAATTACAAAATCAAATAAAATATCTATGCAAGCTGTTCCTTGTATTGTACGGCATAATATCCTGAGCACGGAATCAGAATCCAAGTCGTATTTTGACCCACTGAAATTATTAATTCATTAAATAAACACAGTGCTTGGACTGAATAATCCAGGGAGATTAGATTGTCTTTAGCATGCATAGCGGTGCTGTTGTACAGCTACTTCTGATTATTAAGAGATTTGTGGGAGTGAATAAAACATGGTGGAGCTATCAAACGTAATGCTGTAAAAAATGGCATGGCTCATATTAGATCCTCACAGTGTACATGTCCAATAAACAAGGTGAAATAACTAGCTGAGTCTTCACTTCAAAAGAGAAGACAGATTTGCATGTGGTGACAAAGACACATTCGTGCATCTACTGCGTTAACGCCCCACATGTTCAGCACCCCAGAACCGTGCCGTGTTTTTCTGTGGTCTCAGTCAAGCGTTAGCATCAAATCAGCATGCACATGCAGGCCACTTAAAGACTTGAAAGTTCACCGCTGGCTGCAGGGGTGAAAGCTCAGCATCCCACTAACATCCCTCGACAGGCCTGGGGGATAACAGATAAAAAGCTTTAAAGTTAAAAAGCAAAAAGAGTTTTTACCCCTGTTTGTACCTCTCTGGCTGCAGATCAATATGCTTTAATCTCACCATAAATGCTGTTAAATAATTTCAATTTCACATAGGATCAAAGTTTATGAATCCATCTAGCCGTTGACAGGAACAGGATGAGGCGCAGAAAGAGTTACAGCCAGGCTTTTCTTCAGTTCTAGTCGGAGGAATCAAAACTTACTCTGCAAACTCATTTTGAAGCATTCAGAAATCAGAAGTGTGTTGAATGCTACTTTCTCATCACATTATCTAGCCTCCCTCAGTGATGTAGGGAGTAAACAGGAAGAAAACTGAGCAGACGTGGGAATAGTGGGTCTTCTCTGTGGATCATGGAAGAAGAGTTTTCCTGAACAACTGACATGTGACATTTGCTTTGTCAACAGTTAGAGATTTTATGATTTAGTGTTGTTTGTTTTGCAGCACTGATGTTTTCTTTAGTGGCATTGTGCTGGAGCCCCAGCAGACTCTCTTACCTCTTGTACATTCCACCTCCCACACAGTTCATTGTTCACACACTGACAAAGTCACTCCACGCGTCCTTGGGGTAACGCCATTTACATCATAGCACAATGTCACTGTAGATTTGAGTGATGTTTAGCTGCTCTAGGCAATCTCTGAACCAAACATGACTAAAGGCTAAAGAGCCCCCATCTATTTTTTTTTCATGTTATATATGTAAACATCTACTATAAACAAATATGCTACTAGTTGATTAACACACATATTTAAAAAGTATGCCCTGTAATACCGCATGTTCCAGTTTGCTTGGACCTTCTGCAGATGTACAGGTGCAACATATTTGCAGATCTTGGTATTATCACAGTAAAATGTAGTATTCACATTTAAATTCCACAAGATTTTGTACTATGCTCAGCATGAGATTGAGTACTCTAAATACCCATGGGCTAGCAGTGACCAGACTCAAAGCTCAGAAGCTTTGAGTCTGGTCACAGTTGAGTTGTTGAAACCATCAACAACTATCATCATCATTGTCATCTTCAGTATCTTTGTCATCTTCATTATCATGCATCATTTTGTAATTATTTCTATCTTTAACTATTTTCAATGTCTTTCTTCAAATGGGGGAACACCTGGACCTGCCATTCTGTGTTTGTTTGTTTCTCCTTCCTGTCCTCTCAAATCCAGCTGGTCAAAGCAAATGGCTGCTCATCCTGAACCTGGTTCTGTTGGAGGTTTATTCCTGTTTAAAGAGTTTTTCCTTTCCACTGTTGCCTTTGTGCTTGCTCAGGATGAGAGACTGTGATGAAGTGAAGATTCTTCACGATCTACTAGTTTCCTTAGATAGTTTAAGTTTACTAATTCTTCTTCATCTTATTATTATTATTATTAATAATAATTTATTTTTTTTATGTACGTGGATGTATTTGGACAGTGCCCTAACCATGACACAACTTCTGTTGTGACTTGGCACATTATAAATAAGCTGAATTAAACTGAAGCTTTTAGCTAGGAGAAAATAGCGTTACAATGTTAGTATGGACTTCTCTCATTGATGATGCTGTGTAAAATGTAATATTCTGGTTATACTATTTGGAGTCAGCAAAGCAGGCAGCAAGGAAGAAATTGTACAAGTTACACTTCAAAACATAGCTTATAAAATATGAATTTACTATTACATGTCCTGATAGTTTTGCCTCTTTGAAAAAAAAAAAGTTATTTAACATGAATGTCACCAGCTTGTTTTCATTCAAACCATGATCACTGTATTTATTTATTTTTTCCGTGCACTACAGCTAATGCACCCTTGAGTCAGGCAATTAAGATACAATTGCCCCTTTAAAGTTGCTCAGAAACCAAACTAGCTCTCGTCAATGCATTAGAGCTACAACTTGTAGTTTAATCTGCTCTTCGTTGTAAACAGAGCATCAGCCAAACAGAATCTAATCAAGAGTGTATGCTTCTTGACAATATGCAACAGTTTTCTGTGAGTTAAGACAGTTACAGCTCACTTGGAAGGATTTAAATACTCTAATAGGAAAATCTTAAATGGAAAACACTAATCAGATATTTTACCTCTTACATATTCCATGCACTGATACGCTGAATATCCATACTATGGCACAAAAAAAAAAAAAAAACATATTAAAACTGATATTTGAATTTATTATTGTATCATACTTTGGTTTTCTCTAGATTCATAGCATAGATTTTGCGTATATAATACTATATACAGTGTATGTATATATATGTATATATAATTTTTTTTAATGTGCTGGTGGATGTGACCATTATTGGATAGGAGGGTGTTGTATCATTTGAAATTACACCAGTTTCTGACGTCTGGTTTCCATTCACTTATGGGATTATTTTCAAGATCACATGGACACTAATCAAAATGATTTAATTTAGCCACTGACACCATAACAACTGGTGGAGAAAATCTATTAATTTCATGTAAGAAGAGGACGTTAAATGAAACCAAAGATGTTTCAAAGCCATTGAACACAATAGTAGCCATGTTATAGTAACTTATATATCCTCTTAGAAGGTTAACGTTTAACTTTTAGGTCTTACCTTTTTTAGTCTGAGTATTCCCTCTTGCGATTGTGTGTCTGTAATAATCTCAAACACGCCATGGTCATCTCCCTCTATGATGTTGTATATCGATTTGGCGTTCTCACCGATATCTCGATCGTTTGTCTCCACTTTGCCACCCATCTTCCCTACCAGAAGGTCTTCAGGGATCACAAATTCATACAAACCTGGGGAAGAACAAACATGCTGTAGCTCATTGGTTTCTTGAAATGATAATCAAATTAACAACATTATGCAGCACTGACTCCTTGTGATGCATTACTGCATTGAGTAAAATTAGCTTCCAAGGAGCTGTTTAAATGAAATTTACAACCTAACATTTATTTTTCCCAATTATGAGACAAACTCACTTAGAGCTTCAGTCATTTATTCTTCACAATTTAATTAGATTTGGGACTTTACTTACTTTTGGAAAACTTTGGTGGGTTGTCGTTAATGTCTGTTAGCATGACGGTCACAGTCGTCGTTCCAGACAAACCGCCCATATGTCCTCCCATGTCTTTAGCTTGTATGACCACCAGGTACTCCTCTCTCATCTCCCGGTCCATTCCAGGGAGGGCGATTTTTATAGTTGCTGCAGGTGGAAACAGTTCATAGCACATGAATGTGATTAAAAACACGGCTGTTATAACTGGCACATCAAATTAATGAAGCGCATGCGAGTATGCTCAAAGCAAAGACACGGAAAATAGTCGTACAGTGACCTTCATCACCCCCTTACTCCCCAGATTATCATGATCAGGACTTCAACAAACAAGGAAGCCATATTAAGTAGGGATAAAAATTCCCCACAGGTTTAATCTTTGAAAAAAGCACCATCTCAGAGCAAAGGAAGGTGGCTTTGACTGAACCGGTCCCAGCCCTGAGAATCATCTGTTTGTTTTCCAATGAGTTGTTCTGCCGTCTGCAGTCATTTGTATTCTGATTGGGTGTGAATTATGCTGTCTGTCTTGTATAATCTTGAATATTGTATGCAGAACGGACCTTATTGACTCTGCCGCAGAGCTGAATATAAAAAGGGCTCAGCACTGGCATATATGGATAATCCACTCAGGAAACAGAGGCCCGGAAGATCATCAAATGAATATAAAACCTCTCATAAAAGCCAGGCTTTGGCATGACACCCTGCCTCGGTCTTGAGCTCCCTCAGACAATGATAATATGCTTGGCTATGATGAAAAACATGGGAGGGGTTTGCCTGTTGTCTGTGCCAGCAATTTTTTTGTTCCCTTGAAGATACTTTTTTTTTCCTCGCTCTCTGAGATGTAGCACAGCTCAAGGTCATTTTTTTTTCTTTGTTTTGTTGGATACACACAAGATGCTTGATCTAAATAAATGTAGAGAAAGAAAAGAAGATTAGAATACCCAATAACAAAAAACTCTGGATTGAAGCAAGAAGCGTCTAATCTTGATCAGGTCAGCACAACAAAGGATTGGACCCTGTTGGGTCACATTTGGTGCTACTGACTACAAAAGTGTGATATCTTTGCAATAATGTTATCCCATGGTGTCCATGTCATTGCTACATAACAGAATGTGCAATTTATACATTTTAAATTCATCAGTTGTACTCAAGTTATTATTGGCTTTCTTTAGAATCTGGTGTGAAGGAGAATATTGCAGAGGTATTTTATATTCTTCACTTTCATTTTATTTTTTATTTTTTACCTTGGAAATGTTGTAAATTTGTCATTTACATTTTATAACTACCTGTATAGCTATTTTATCCCACGGTATTTTTTTTCTAAATACATACATCAAGTTAAAAACATATATTTTGGGATTATTTTCTGTTACTTTTATAAACACATCAAACACTTAAGTTCTGTGACTGAACTAGTTTTCACTGTTGATTTGTTGTGCTCTGCATCATTAACCAGCCATCCATCCATCCATCCATCCATTATCTTTGCCCCATTATTCCATTTTGGGTCACGGGGGTCGCCGGTGCCCATGTCCAGCAATCACTGTTCGAGGGGCGGGGTACACCCTGGACAGGTCGCAAGTCCATCACAGGGACACATAGAGACAAACGAGACAAACAACCATTCACTCTCTCACTCACACCTAGGGACAATTTAGAGTTACCAATCAGCCTAACATGCATGTTATTGGTCTGTGGGAGGAAACCGGAGCACCTGGAGAAAACCCACGCATGCACGGAGAGAACATGCAAACTCCACCCAGGAGGCTTCTGGACCGGGGTTTGAACCAGGGACCTACTCGCTGAGAGGCAGCAGCTCTACCAGTTGTGCCACCGTGCTGCCTGCATCATTAACCATTCTTTCTTTTTTTTTCTCTTTTGAGCATTATTAAATAGCTTTGTTGTCTCGATCTGTCTGCAGAACTGTGCTCTGGATTTATTTATTTATTTTCTCTCTCTCTGTCTTTGTGATGTTTACAAGATAATGTGTTTGTCTGTATATTTGTTTTAAGACTTTTTCAACCAATGATTTATTGGTGTTTTCAGTAATTGCTGTCTTTAAAAAAAATACTATTACAATACAGTTAGTGAGAAAATTTAAGTTTAAGTGTGATGAAGGTTAATTGCAAAAGGCTGCTGATGATCATAAATAACAGAATCAAAAATGAAATTTTGACATATTAGGGGTAATTTGGGTTTAACCAAAAAGTCATTTTTCAGTTGCCATCTTTTGTAAATTAAATGAAATAATGTGTAAAAATGTAAAAGAGTTTTTGATCAAATGATGCTGCAGAAAATCAATAATTTTCAAATCGGGCTTTGGTTAACTTTCATTCACTTTTGTCCAGTCCTATTACCCGTTTCTTTATAACTTACTTTTTTATTGTCTACTAATTATTTTATCACAGCTCTCTAAACCATTTCACTAAAAAAATGCAGCTTGATAAATTAAGCTGCTCAGTCAAATGGCTAAGCAAAAATTATAATTTCAATGGCACTTAAAACATGTATCTTTATATAGTAGCCAGGCTTTGTCTTTTTATTTTATCGTATTTCCCAAAATTCATTTTCAAATAGCTAGTAGCCAAAACCCTGTCGATGGCCATCTGAAGGATGAAACATTTCTCACATCCTGATGTTCACAATTTAGCACTGTGGCCTTCACTCATTTAGCTCACACAGGTCACATTTGTAGTATTCTAGTTCAGCATCACGCCTGCAGAGTCATGAACATACACTGTGGATAATCATTTCTGAATGACCGATCTGTGTTCTGAGCCACAGCTACACCAGGAGCCTTTAACAGTAAGGAGGTCCAGTGCATCCAGGGTGTCTAAGTATTTGACTTAAGAAAAATAAATAAAAAAAAAAAAAACACCTCACATTCATTATTGGACTGCTAAAAAGCTGTGTACTTATTTTTCTGTTAATCTCACTTTAAAGGAGCCACACTCAACGAAAGAAGAAGATTTTAAACCAGTATTTTACTGGCAAGGACATATTTTCAGGACAGGTATAGAGATATACAGGAAGTAAACACATGGAGACCAGTCATGAAAATCTGCCATGGGCAGTGTGTGAAGCTTGTTTTTATACGCTTATAGTTCAGCCAAGCTCACAGACTTGGAGGCATCCTTGACTCAGCTGCCTCCTCCAACTCATCAGACAGCTTTCTACTAACCCAAACACATGATTCATGGGCAGAATTAACATTCTCAGCCATAGTAGTTAAAAACTTCCATAAACTTTTACCAAACAATCTCTAACTTTACTTAGTCAAAGCAGTTTATTATTTTTATTTAGCCTATTTATTTTCAATTTTGGATGAGTTCATAAAAAAAGTTCATGGACAAACAACAATAACAAAAAACTTAACAAAAATAATATATATCTATATGAAGATGTGAAGGTATGGGGAAGAAAAACTGGCACAAAATGTAACGTTAATATATATATATATATATATATATATATTTTTTTTTTAAGCATTCAAAATATATAAAATAAAGAACATAAAGATAAAAATTATTCAGTTTGGTGAGGGGGCTGTCAGTGTCCTTCCTGTCATCAGATACAGTATATTAATGAAAACAATAACTAAAGTCATTTTAGTCAATAAAACATGTATGTATTTGTAGTCAGAAAAAAAGGAAGTGCTGAACTTTATACTGACATTTCTAGTGAGATTTTTCTCTGACTGATCAATAGCTAAACACAAATTTCCATCCATCCATCCATTCTCTTCCACTTATCCGGGGTTGGGTCGCAGGGGTAGCAGCCTAAGTAGGGAGGCCCAGACTTCCCTCTCTCCAGCCACTTGGGCCAGCTCTTTCAGGGGAATCCCAAGGCGTTCCCAGGCCAGCCAAGAAACATAGTCTCTCCAGCGTGTCCTGGGTCTTCCTCTGGGTCTCCTCCCGGTGGGACGTGCCCGGAACACCTCACCAGGGAGGCGTCCAGGAGGCATCCTAAACAGATGCCCGAGCCACCTCAACTGGCTCCTCTCGATGTGGAGAAGCAGCGGCTGAGATGAGGGTAGGAACGTAGATCGATCGGTAAATTGAGAGCTTTGCTTTTTGACTCAGCTCTCTCTTCACCACAACAGACCGATGCAGCGCCCGCTTCACTGCCTATGCTGCACCTATTTGCTTATCAATCTCATGCTCCATTTTCCCCTAATTCGTGAACAAGACCCGAAAGTACTTAAACTCCTCCACTTGGGGCAGAACCTCCTCCCTGACCTGAAGAGGGCACTCTACCCTTTCTGGCTCAAGACCACGGCCTCGGATTTGAAGGAACTCATCCCGGCCGCGTCACACTCGGCTGCAAACCGCTCCAGCGAAAGCTGTAGATCATGACCTGATGAAGCCAATAGGACCACATCATCTGCAAAAAACAGAGAAGCAATCCTAAGGCCATCAAAGCGGATCCCCTCAACACCTTGGCTGCACCTAGAAATTCTGTCCATAAAAGTTATGAACAGAATCGGTGACAAAGGACAACCTTGGCAAAGTCCAACTCTCACTGGGAACAAGCCCGACTTACTGCTGGCAATGCAATTTATTTGATAAATAAATTTAGTTTTTGTTTTCAGTGTGCTAATAAAAAAGTAGGGAGCCAACACCTGTTCATCTAACTGTCAGCTGTCGTACTGGAGCCTTAAAAATACAAATGTCTTTAAATAAGCTCAAAGTGTAAATACGGCATTTGTATGAGGCAAATAAAGGCACATTTCGATGCAGCGCATAGCCTGAAATTAATTATTTAATCATATGACAATATTCATTAAGAGAAAATCACAGAAAAAAAAAGTTTCCACTTCAGTGATGACTTTAGTAAAGAAAAACTAAATTGTTACATTAATTTTTAGTATTTAAATGATAACCAGAACAAGCAAAATGTTATATTTCAAGTTTACAAAGCATATGGTTCAGACTATAAGTTTTCATTTTTTTATGAAAATGCATGTTAGTGAAGTTTAGACAGTTTGATATGTAAAAGTGAGAGAGAAGACTGATTTAAAACCCTTTTGTTTACTTTTTCTTTTTCAAACTGATGTGGAGCTTTACATTTGTCAATCTCAATACAAGGCCCCAAGATGATACAACTTGTAGAGAAGTGAAATAACTTTGTGATGCTAAATGCTTAAAGAA